TGCTGAAGTGTTACGAACGAGGCAGCCAGCCGGGGGAAGAAGTGGTGAGAAAGCCAGCACAGTGTGACACCTGAGAACTTCACTGGCACTTCACCAAGCCTGAAAAATGGGAAGTCTTATACTCCAAGGAGGTTCTTCCCCTTTCAACTTGCTAGTACACATCAATGCTTTCTCTTCTGAGTGTAAGCACGGATTATGTGTCAGAAGTTCCCCTCTGGGTTAGATTCATGCAAGTCATTTTCCCTGAAGATTAATAGAAAGTATATACATTCACCCAACTAATACAAAATGCTTCTGTCTTCTCCATGGTTCAAGGTATCCATGAACACATCAAGCTAGTATTCAATTCACGCACTAACTCTCAGTGCCAGCATAATCTGATCTAAATTTTTAGGGAAACAGGTCAAGGAAAAGTCAAAGAGATTAAACTTCAACTTAAAATTCGATTTGCACTCCTTTGGAGGACACACAAAACACAATACAGCCTGAAGGACGTTGTATCTTAAAATCCCGTTCTACAGCTCTGCAATGTCAAGAAACTCTACAGAGAACAGCAGGCAGAACACACAGTCTGGGCATTCTCGCAACGTCTTCAAAAAGCGTAAAGGAGAAGGGAAGAAACCACAAGAAAAGCTAGGAAAAGCACAATCTTCACAACTTAAGAAATGTCAAAGATTTTTAGCCCGTTCAATACAGGCTTCACTATTATTACCAGTTACTCAAATACTACGGAAATTTATTCCTTTCTTCCCAAGAGTGTCCCAAGTTGTCATTTAAAAAATTACTTAAACATTTGCAAGATGAGTCTCAAAAACTGATTTTCAGTAAACATGGTACCTTTTCCCATTTACTATGATCAAACATATCGTCCTAAAGAGCTCCTCACCCAAGAAGCCAACGAGGCTTTCCCTATTAACAGCTGGGGATACAATCCTCTCTCTCATATGCCTTTAGGACAAAAATGGCTGGTAATAAGAAAACAAGGCACAAGCAACTTAATAGCACAACTGTGAGTAGAGTAACTATTGAAAAACAATTCAACAATGTTAGAGTGTTTTTAAAAAGGTAAACTCACATGTTTTTATCTATGTTAAAAAAAACGCTCTACATACCATAGATGAGAACACAAACCATTAGGCACACTACACCATCGCCAAATCAGGGATGATGTAATGAAGCTTAAAGTAACAATCTTTGATTAATCAGTCATATCTGACACAAGAAACATCTACACTATAGCCACACCGGTGCACATACAAATGCAGACAAAGCCTACAACTTCTAACCATCTTCTTGATGTATTTATGTTTTAGCTGATGTTTGTATTTAATATAAATAAACTGACAAGGATATCTTAAGGTTTAGCTTAAGTTCTATACAAACTTTAAGAAGTACACTTAAATATATATTCAAAGACCCACAGAATTAGGTAGCTTGAACAAATATTACCTAGCATTAGAAGACCACTTTGAGTATTAACATGGCCTCTAACCCTCATCTCAGAGTTTGATGGCCTAAAGATTCAGGTATGCCTCACCCATTGCTTTCCATAAAGGCTTCTGTTGAAAGCTCTGGCAATATTCATTACCTACAAAATGGCAATTCGTTGCCAGTATTAAGGCTTTTCACATTAGCAGCTATGAAGATAAGTAATAGAAACCTATAGTTGTTTTGAGAAACCTACGTAGCTTTTGCTACTTTCTACAATACATAAAATTTGCGTGCAATGGGCATAAATGTAAAAAGAATTAATACTCAGCGGTTTAATAAAAAAGGAAACATCATTCCCATTAATGAAATAATAAGAGCAATGCCCGTATTAATGCTTTAGCATGTTGTTAAAGCTCCAATTAGGTTGTTATGCAAGAGCAATGTCTAAGAACATTTTATTCAGTCAACACTGTATTCTCCAAAAGCATTACTAGATATAAATCGTATTTATGCATAAATTCAAGAGGTTAGGATTTTAAAAAGAAAAAAATAAAGTCATATATTGGTGCTTAAGGATTTAGTTGGATGAGTAATTATTTTCCTTTACTTTTACTCTCTTTCCTAGAATATCCTCCTGCAGAGGATTCGCAAAGAATGAAACAGCTTCCCAGTAACAACATACTTCCTTGTGACTACTCTGAAGGCAAACTTGATTAATAAAAAACATTTATTTGGCCTAGCAGCCAGCACGCTTGCCATGCTAAAAGATCCCCATCTCCCAACCCACAGCTATATTATTCTCCCAGAAGAAAGTTTCCATATACCCATTATCCACATACTAGTGGTCAGATACGACCCGCAATCCACCACATAAAGCAACTCTGGTTTTGAATATTAGTTCAATTTCTATATTACATAAGCTTTCATGCTCATCTAGTAAAAATGTTACTCATCCTACCTGATCTTATGGCTCTCAGTGATATACCAGTTCATCTCTGCTTTCACAGTTCTATATTTTGCCCAATATCACTACTAAAATTGCAAGAACTGCAGAAATATGCAGAGGAGGCCCTTGGTAAGTGCAATTTTAAACAGTTGAGTAGGGTTAGAAGTTTCACTAAAAAAGCATTCTAGAAAAGTCTCCACACTCTGATGGAAATTCAGAATCTCTTATTAGGACTACACCGTTTCCTGGTACTTTCGACAGCAGAAAATTTAAAAACTGGAGAATCTGCATGCTGCTTCCTTATACAAAACTAAACTTTCGGGTATCCCTGGAATAAGCTTACCCAAGAGTCCAAGTTTGCAAGATTAAGCTACATAGCAATGGGAAACCAGCCTGTAAATGAAAAACAACCAAAGTCTCGCAACACCCTACAGCCATCAACCTGCTACTTCCAGTAAAGCAGTATTATACTGAGCCTAAATAATATTCATATGATTATTTTGTTGAAAAGAACACTAGTATTGCAAAAGCAAATGCTGAAGAGTTACTACAAACATGAAACAAGGTTACCCTGCAAACTTCCATTGTAATAATACAGCAAATGGGAAGACAAGACTTTTTAATGACAACAAACTAACTCGTTTTATTTGCTCTCATGGTCACAGTGCAGTTACTTCAGTACCAGAGCTTCTCTGTCCTCTTTGCCTCATTTATTCACATTGCTGTGTGAGAGAAAGGACACGAAGGTACTATGAAGCAAAGAGTTGGCACTCATACAGTTAAAGGCTATAATCCAGTGCATATGTAAAAGAGGTCAAATAAAAATTGCAACAGCAGAATAGTAATTTTGAAAAAAAACCTTACAATTTAAGAGATAATAAATATCAGGAAATGCAGCTGATCAGAATTGTTCATTACACTCTCCTCCATGGTTGCAATGGTTCTTATTTAAAATCGCAGATGCAAGAAATCCAAGCACCTTTATCATCAATCCAATAAGCACAAAATGAAGACAGTATTTCCTTTTCATCCTCTCTCATTTCAAATTTTCCACTGGCAAACAAGTAAACAACAGTGTTCTGAAGAAAATGGCAATATTCCACAAGTGGGTTTATATCTGAAACCCTGTACAACAGAGTAGTGTTTTATGACACAGCCATAACACCATACAAAAACAGAATTATTTTTTGCTACATTATCTCCATGGTGTACTGCAGATCCTAAATGAGCATAGGACAAAGAATGAAAAAGAGGAAAGATGGTGTTTGTTAGCTTTAAGGAAAAAGACACCAAGCTATGAAAAATGAAGCAGTTGTTAATGTGATTGCATGAAAAGGTTATTTTCAATATAGCTATGCGGATAAATCAACAATACTGACCCACTAACCACACTCCCAGAAAAATATGTGTTTTTTAGAGGCAGCTACAAGTTTTAGGTATGCAATTGAAGTTTGAACTCCAGACTTAAGATCAGTTTTGTAGAAATAAGGAAAATTAATATTTATACCCAACTTTACAAATTCAGACTAATAAGTGTAAGTACAAGAGTCTTGTAAAAGTTCCAGCAGATTTATGGACATTTTGCATTTTGACATCACTAAATGCAATCATTTGGTAACCTAACCTTCTCCCTTGCTTTCTTGCAAGAAACAGAAGCACACAAGTATCTTTCCTTTTTGTAGATTAATACAGAAGGTCACTGGACTGCACAGGTACGCACCATAAGAGAAAACTGCCACATCTATTCAGCTAACCTGAAAACTTATTTCCATTCAAAGGAATAAACTACTGCTTATGTTCTAAAATCCATCAACTTAGAGTTTGAAATTTATTGCACCTTACTGAAGGAAAAGAATATAATGTCAGTGAACTGAATCTGATTAATTTCAGAAGCTGAATTCCAAAAAACTTCAGCCCCCACTGAAGGACTTCTAGAAGTACAACAAACAAGAGTCCATCAACACCTCTAGCAAAAAAAGAAAAATGTAAGCAAATTATGGCACTGCTTTACATTTATTTCAGACAGCGTGTGATGATTAGTACCCCTTTGGGGAAGATCCCGAGAATGGCTTTTGAGTTCCTTGCTATGAAGGGTCATACAACTGTGAAACTGAAAATCTAGCAAGCTTATAAGCTTTGAAGAAATGGCTCACAAAGTCACACACAACCTAGTCTAAACTACACCCATGAAATTTGTCAGAAATATATAAGTGTTCAAGCTATAATAATCTTACATACCTGGACCCCACTAGCTACACAAAAAGTCAGAAAGGCCTCCAGCAAGTGCAGTAAAAGCTACAAATTACAACATTTGTTGTATCTGTTGCTACTTCCCCATTCAGCAGAAAAAAGGGATCGGACAATCTGCTGCACAAGAGCAACTGGGAAAAAAGCCTTTGTTCTTTCCTTCTGTGTATTCCTCGCACACACACACCCCAGAGTGGTGGTACCCTTTCTCCTCCCTATGTGAAGCTTAGAAAAAGCATATGTTCTATATCCTTTCTTCCAAAGAAAAAGTGAACAGAGACAAAATGTAGTTATCTACAAGGGACTCCTAGATGTCTGGTCACAACCACAACTTTTCCAATCTCTGAGTGGCCTGCCTGCAATTAAACACAGTTGCAATCAACTGTGAATGCAGCTGGTACATCTGGAACGAGCTGCCCTGATCTACCACCAGGCAGGTGAGACTATGCAGAAGCCCCAGAACTAATAATAAACCAAAGTAATTTTTAGTCTTCATATGTCTGAATTCTGTTTAAATTCACATTCTCAAATAGCAAAAAAATAATCATAAGGTAATCTTAACCCTGTACTACTTTTAAAACACAACTACAAAACAGTTTGGGGTGACCACATCAGATACACGTTCCAATAACATAAGACACTGAGTCATTAGAATTATTAGTCTAGTTCCCTATAGAAGGAAAACTTACATGATTTCCATGCTCATATATGTTCTTCCACCTATACTTCCAAAGTTGCTGGTGATTTTACTAAACTTAAAAAACTAAACTTACTTCTTCAAGAGAGCTCTCTTTCTTAGGGACTCCGTGCAAGTAGATAGCTGAGCAGAGTAAAGAGACTGAAGAATAAACTCACTTACCTTCTAAAAATGCCTTTAGAAAGCTTACAAGGTAAAGCTTATGGTACTCCAAATGGATGAACAGTTTTAAGAAGGTATGAGCTCTAATTAGGTCCAAAAGCCAACTGCAAACCAAGACGCAAAATCCCAGTCATGCTTTTTTACTTTTCAATTCTTATATTAAAAGCATCAGTTGTTCTTCTGTGATTATTGCAGATGGACACTCACTATAAAATTTATAGTTACTGTTTCCACAAACTCCAACAGGCATTTAAGAGTCTTCATAAAGCTCCTTGTAGTCATAATCATCACAAATCTGAGTGATCGGGTAAGTGCTAATCTCTCAGAAAAGCAGAAACATGAAAAGGCTGTTTACCCACAGCCATACAGAAAGAAAGCAAGCACATTATAAATGTGAGTTTCTGGAGGGTTATTTTTTACCCTGCGATTTCTAATTTCTTAGAAAGACTAGACCACCTACATTGGAAACTGCTTTCACTACAGGTTTATTCATTAAGCATATAATTTTTCTGACACACTGCTATAAGTTTTTACATGGAGCTTTTGTTGATAAACACATGGAATACTTTGTTTGCTGAACCAATACAAGCTGAATCAGCACAAGCACTTTATGATGGCATAAATCAGTGACATATTAGGACTTTCCATAATATGCAACTAAAACCGTGTTATCCCTTAGAGCTGTGCAAATTCTTACATAGACTACACACCCCTACTCGCTAGGGATGAGTTAAGCACAGTCATCTGTAGAACAAGCATAGGCTGCCACCAGTAATCTTTATTACTAAATAAATCCAAAGTAGATCACAATATTGTCTTAAAAGGAATAACAGAAATCTCGTATTTCTGTTCATCACATAGTCTAAACTGCAATACCCATTCAATTCAATAATTCAGAGGATGACCAGTTCCAAGAAGAGAGCACCTCAGAGATGCCTTATTTAACAAACCTCCTCAACACCAATGGCTCTGAATCCACATGCAATCAGTGTCTTTTTCTGTGTTGTAAAAGAAACTGGATAGAGCCAATTTTCTTTGATACTGTGGTTGTTCCTTGTATTCCTGAGCTGGATGAAGGATACCACCCACTTTTGCTTATTGCGCCTTACAAAAGACATTCCTAATTCGAAATTGCCAATATAACTGTATACATAGATAATTTCTGTCTGCTACAGATCTCTCAAAAATGAATCAGAAAACAAAACCATGTTCAAGCTATCAAATATAGAACAAAATACTTGGAATCCCATTATCGTGCTGATACATTAGCTAGCCATATGTATCATTTGATGACTGAGACCTTAATTATCTAGCAGAAAAGCCCATAGGAAAAGGTACAGACTTGTATTTTTCCCCTCCTTTCTGTCAAACTGTGAAGACTGGAAATCTGTGTTCACATTTAATTTCAGAAGCATTTTATAAACAAGCATTCAGGTACTTCAATCAAGTTATCAAGTGTCTACAATGTGACACAGTTCTCCCTCAATCTTCCTAAATTTTGGTGCTATGATTTTTGCAGAATACTCTAATAGTACTAACATTTTAACAAGCTATGCGAATTTCACCTATCTTATTAGTTAGGGTTTCATTGTTAGCTTTTATTCCTGCCACGGCAGTGCTTTTTAATTTACTATTGTGTTACCTGAAACAAAACCGCACTTGATCGAAATCCAGATTACACCATTATGTAATAAAATAAGGAATTAATCACATTAAATAAGAAAGAAGTTAACTATAGGATGCTTTACTTGTACCAAATTTAAAAGGAGGCCAGAAAAGTAAGTATTGCTGCATCATTTTGTATTATGTTTTAAGGTAACATACTGACATTTAGAACTTCTTCCCTTCATTACTAATATTATTTTCTTTTACTTTACTGTTCCTCTGAAATAACAAGCTTTCTAAAAGTACTTTCACATTCTCACATATACAGAAGACTGAAGCATCTTCTATTTTGCATACACAGACCCAAAAGCAACGTACATAGCGTGTCTTTGCTTTCAAAGCAGTCCCATTTGAAAGGACTACTTATGCTGCTGCCAAGAGATGAGGCACCAGTAGAGAAAAAGAGATCGCTAACTTCCCTGACGCCCACCAAAATTTGTCTCCAGTTTTGGCACATAATCACCCTGGTCATCATCAAGTTGACTGACGAAGTCTTGTTACTTTGTGAGAGCACAGATGAGACATTTAAATCGGTAAGATATTAGAAACGTTTTAGCAGAATTTCAGTAAGACATTCTGAGGACTTGCAATGGGAGCCACTTTGTTTACAAAGCAAGTAAATTTATGCCAACACTTCTCTTTACCACAGGTGTCATTGAAGTTTGTGAATCACACTGCTAGTGTCCTGAGAACGCTTTGCGTAAGATACATTGGGAGACATCTTCAGCAGGTGAAAAGGTGAAAGCTTTCCACTGTTTTCAGTAAGTTACCTTCCTCTGTACAGACTCCATGCAAGAGGCACCACTGTGCTGTACCAGAAGAATAGACAAGGACAAGGGGGGAAAAAAAAAAAGCATAAAGCAAAAAGTATTCATAGGTATTTGTTGGACTGCCAGAAGCAGACCATCAGGGCCACTCACAGTCAATTTGAATGAACAGTAGTTCATAAAGCAGACTGCACATCTGATAGAGAACAGTTCTGAAACATCTGTTCTCTTTATTTCATTAAAGCAGGAACAAAAGAAATCAAATCTAACAGTTATTATTAAGTCCAAAACTGATAAAACAGCTTTTACACCCACAGAAATGGAAAGGGGCCAACCTGTATCCTGCTCTTAACTATTCCCTCTTTCGTTGTTCCCTCAAACTTGCTAATAAA